AGCGCTCTGCTGTGAATACCTGCAGTTATTCTGGCATTTATTGTATGTCTGAGGTTACGTTGTTCCTGGAAAATATTGATCTGTGAGGGCTCCTTCTTTTCTTCCCTTTGAGTGACTAACGTGTTGAAATGGCGTAATCTTCTTGGTAAATACTGTACATACAGAGGTTTTCCTCTTCTCAACACTAATAGATTCCAGTAGCAGAGAGAAATATGTCCTGTGCATCCCCACAGCAGTATCCAAGCATGTGAGAAGCTCACGTCAGAGTGTATATGGAGGCGGCTCTGCAGACGTCAGTGATGAGGCTGCTGCAGGTTGCTCAGCTCTCACTGATCATCTCAGCACAGACGCTTTAGCTGAGTCGGTCTGAAGACTGAGCTTGGGTTAAAATAAAGCAGAGCACTTGGTCATGGAGTACTCATGTCAGTGTTAATCAGCTGACTGTGTGTTACTGTAGGGTCTACAGTGTACAGCACCTGGAGGCGACTGCTGTTGACATTTGTTTCTGTATAAATACGTTTGAATTTACTGAGAGTCTTTTTCATTGTCATCACGTTTCTGTTTTAAAGGACACACTGATAAAAGCTACATGTTACTGCAGGTATAACACGTGTTGTGTGTGTTAACTGTGATTGCTCTGTGTGTCAGGCCCGTACGACAACAGGACGGTGTACGAAACCTTGGACATCGGCTGGCAGCTGCTGCGAATCTTCCCCAAGGAGATGCTGAAGAGGATCCCTCAGAGCACGCTGGCAGAGTTTTACCCCCGAGAGTCTGCTCGTCACTGAGGCTCCACCGCGCTCTGGTTCTGCTGACACGCCCTGTTTCCATGTCCCAGTGATAATATCCCTCCTTTAGATTCACTGTAGTGTGTTCGTGTATGAAAAGTGTCTGAGTAAAGAGTAAGTGTATCCTAATCAGTCCTTATTTATTGTGCTGTTATATATCAGGATATCTTCTTTTTCAAATAAAGCAAAGGTTTCCTGTAGAGAGCCGTGATGATACCTGAAGATGTTATTTCATTATTTAGTAACAGAAACACACGTACAGGTGCTTGTTTGAAGGACGTCAGTGCTCTTTGCTCCCCGTGTTACGTGGACCTGGATGCTTCTCTGGACCTTCTCGCTTCTTCTCTGCATTTACATTTTTGTGGTGTTTTGATTTGTGTTGCAAAAACATGAGTGAGTGTATTTTAAAGAAATCACATCTGTCTGCAGAAACAGCTTCTTGTGCAACCATGGTTCTGTGAGTTTACATTAAATTATATGACGGTGCTTTGTTGTGTGTCCTGGGTCATTGTCCCCTCCTGCCAGCATCGGAGCTAGAAACACACATCTGTCAGCGGCTGTAACAGAAGTATAAATGTGTAACTACAAGCCTCCCTCATCCTTTCTTTGTTCAGCTGTGAACCAGCTCTGAGTTCCTGCTGACACAGCCAGCCTCCCTCACTGCCTGCATCAGCTGTTAGCATCAGAGCCAGTTAAGCTAACGTCATCCGTCTGTGTGGAGCTGCTACAGGATCCGATGTGCTGCTCACAGACGAGCAGAGGATAAATGAAGGCTTCGTGTTTCATGTTGGTCTGCTTCACATTTAATGTGTTTGAATGGAAAATTAATCTGAGCAGCTGTTCACTGGTTCATTTATAGTGACTGAAGTGGATACAAAGTAAACAGGCAGCGTCTTCTTCTACTGTTGATATTTCTGTATTTAATGTTGACGTCCGCGTGCCAGAACATTTATGAGCCGGGCTGAAATCACAGAATTATTGTTGTTGTTGTTTTTAATCCTTTCGAGGTTAAAGTGGAGATTCTAGTTGTTCAGAGACAAACCTCCACGGTCGGTGAACTCGTGCTTCAGAGACGGTTTTATTACAAAGGACATGATTCTGGCACAAAACCACACAAACAATGTGCCAAGTAGAGGTGGGTTTTTATAATCGATTTATCGATTAAAGTCGATTCTGGCTTGGATAACGTGATATCGATTCATTAAAATCCTGAATCGATTTTTTTTATATTAATTTATTTTGCCCAAAACGCCGGAATCTCGGGTTAAACCTCACAAAACCACCAAACAGCT